TTATGTCAACAGGGTTGAATTGCCGTGCAACTTCGTCTCTAGGACCGCAGCTATTAATATTCCATGCCTTCCCATAAAGACAGTTATCTCCTCGATCTTGCTCTGGAGTCCGTTACAGTTAAACTGTTGCACCTTTGTGTGACTTGGGAGACCGATTGTGATGTGTGGTGTTAAAGAGTTGTGTTGCCTGCCGGCCCCCTGCTGTACGTGCTGCAAAAGGGGGTGCTGCCTTGTGGTAGTGGTTGGCGGCGTCGCGGGGGAGGGATGCGACGGGGCAGCACAGCAGGAGCCCACATAGTCACTCGTCCAATCTCGTGTGTTTCTAAGTCCTGAGCACACCCTAAAGTGGCACCAGCCGATGCATGAGTTGCACTTGAATGATGTCACGTTACGGTATATTCTGGACTGACAAACAGATCAGGTTGTCGAAGGGACTAGGAGTGGCTGCGGCGGTGTGTGGGTGCTATTGTGTTAGTTTGTGTGTCTATTGTTGTGTTGTGTTGTGTTGGGGTGTGGGTGTGTTGATTGTGAGCTGCCCTGGCGGGCGGTGCTTTGCCGTGGAGGCGGTCCGGTTCGCACAGCATGGGGCCACGAACGACGTGGTCCATTACCGGTGCGTACGCAGGCCTGAGCAGTTACGGAGGTGACTCCACCCGTCACAGGTATTGCACCCGACCGAGATGGAGTTTGTATGCAGTCGTCTCTGGCATACGCAGCAGGTGTAGATTTCTGGCCCTGGGTTTGACTCTATGCCAGCCCTGAGCAGAAGGGTGCGGAGAAGGTGTAGCCCTAGGATCGAGCAACGTTTGATGGATTTCGCCGACCTAAACGGGGTTAGATCGCCGAAACAACATCCCTTGGTCGGGTAAAACCCGCGTAATTCCGGTACGTAGAACCGGCTGTCGTGGGACAGAATCATGCAAGTGTGCGCTAGCTCATTAAAATATATGGGTGGCATTGTTGTAATTTATAGCTCTGCGGATTCGCAACGTGTGAATCGCGCTAATGTGCGCTTCGCTTTATGCAAATACTGATGCGATAAATATTGCACATGGAGCATTCGTGCGCTATCCATTAATCCATCAATATGGATCGCGATCCAAATATCGGGATGTTTACTGACCGTGTGACAGGGCCGAAATGACTATCACTGTTCTCATGATCCAACTACACAAGATCTGACAAGAGGAAGCAAAAGAAAAAAGTAATTTTCTGGCTGACGTTTGTAATTTCGGCGCCATGTTATTTTCTGTGAAAAGTAAACAAAGAATATGAAGACGAAGCATAAAGAAAAAATGCAAGCAATGTTGTGCACATGTTTGTGCTAACCAATTTATTATTTTTGTGAGTGTTTTTGCATCCAATCACCGCGCACTTCATTTTAATTACATTTGCACAAAAAATCACCTAAAAATCACTGAAATAAACCACCGACAAAATACACATAAAGAAAGAAGCAAAACAGAAATAGCAATCTTCGAAATTACGAGCGTCCCACACTTTTATCTCAATTGCTATTACAAATGGCTGCTTCTCAACCGGTCAGATCTGTTCTAATTGGTTCATGCACTCTTCTTGCATGACGCAATAATACAAGGTGTTATCAGTTGGCAACTTCTCGCTCTAATTCCGCCATATTATGCGCGTTCCTTATCTCCCAGAAATAGTCAGAAAAAGTCCGAAGTAGTCAGATTTAGTCCAAAAAGCGTTCCTTAACTCGGAAATGACAGCAAAAATGAGAGAGCAACAGTCAGTGAGAGCGACTCTCATCAGTCCGAAGTAGTCAGATTTAGTCAAAAGAATTTTTTCTGGCAAAATCCTGAAAAGTGTCAAACTCAACTGAATTTAAATTAACGGAAATTAAAGAATACGCAAAAAGTGAGAATAATCTAAAAAGTAAAAGAAATGAATTGAAATTGGAAGGAGGCAAAAAATAATTGATATAGCAAGTGTTTATTGTGCTTGTGCTTGTGTGAATGTGTTTTGTACATACATTTCTGTTCTTATTTGACGTTAGTTTTGTTGTTGCCATTCTTTGGACTAAAAATTTGGTTTTTTGCGTTCCTTTACTTTTCCTGTTACTCTCTTTTAGTGAGCGCATTTTGCTTACGCTCTGGCATTTTGACACTTCAGATTTTAGTCCAAAAAGATAAGGAATGAACCTATTGACTGCCTTACGTGAAACAGTGTTACTTCTTTAACTATTCTTTGCCCATTAATAGAGTTGAATGTTTTTTATTTTTGCGCAGTATACACACTTTGTTTTCTTAAAAAGGTATTTTATCTTATTTTATTTCATTTCATAACGAATATACTATAAAAAAGCAAACTTTGTTTAGGAGAAAATGTGAAATTTTATATTTTTCCACCATATGGGGATTCATTTCTTCCCGTTTTTCTTCTCATTCTATTGAGCAAAGGCAGTGTCAAATCGAGCTGTCACAACTGATACCACCTTGTACTATTGCATCATGCTCTTGTATAAGATCGATAGAATACAAGATTGCGCATTCCCGCAGAATGACATTTGTGGCAACGGGTAAACAAAGAATATGGCGAAGAACAATGAGTTGACAGTTATGAATTTGCAGTGAGAAAACGTGTTTTCTTCTCGATTCACCAATTTCTCAAGCCATCTTTGAATATAGCAAATTAAGCACTGCGTTAACAAAAAATATACGACCACTCTTGAAATGTGTTCAAAAGAATAGGTCTTATTAATTAACTGTTTAGAATTTTGGTGTTTGTATTGCAGGTGCCGAAGAAGTGATAATATCTTGTCGCAGCCCATGTTTTCCTGTAGAAAGTGGTCGATGCTTGCTTACCTCCGATTTTAATTTGTAATTTGTGGTATTTCAACTTAACATGTCGTGTTTAAAAGTGGTCCGTAAAGTGCTTCATGCATATTACGCTGGTGTCTAAATTGTATGGCTTCTCCTGCCGGCAGAACTCTACCCACTTTCTGGCCAAGGCATCGTCGCGCGGAAAAAAAAAAAAACTGCATTTGGGGGCTTTATCCCTACGGCTGCGGCAATTCAACACACGACACGACATTTTTATAAAGTTTTTATTACAAATAAAACGTTTTTTACTTCAGAACGCACGAATTACCTCGATTTTTCACTTGAAAGTACACAATACGTTTGCACTTGTTTCTAACCAAAAAGTTTGGGCATAAATGCAGTTCGGCTCCAAATCTCAAAAAAAAAAAAATAAATATCGGAATCGATAGAGATGATTGAGCTGAGTATAACGGTATACTTCTTTTTTTGGGCAAACAACAACAACAAGAATTATCAAAGGTTAAAGTTCAAAATAAGCAATTTTTAAAATCAAGATTTCTCAAAAACAAATGAATTGAAGTAAAAGCACTGAACACCTTTTGCAGAGAACACCTTTCTGCGTAGGCGGCGTCGGCCGCACTTAGGGTTTGTAAGCTTTTTTTATAATTATTTTACATTATTTCAGTTTTTGTACGAACCATACAACATATATATAAAGTACGTATACCAAATTAAAGGGAATCAAATTTCCTATTAAATGAGATCAAATCAAAGATCCATATTTATCGGTTTTTAAGAAATCTTGATTTCAATAATTGCTTATTTTGAACTTTAACCTTTGATCATTTTTGTTGTTGTAGTTAGCCCAAAAAAAGAAGTATACTGGGTAATTCTCTAGGGTGGGTTAACAACCCCTAAAAAAGGTGCGGAAAAGTCGGGATGGGTACCAAACGACGCGTTTCGGCCGCCCTAATAACAATCCGGAGGGGGCGAGATAATATTATTAAGCATTTAAAAGTTATGAACAAAAAACTTTTATTAAATTTCGTTGTTTTCTATGAGCAATTACCACGTCAAAAATGCACTAAATCACCAGTTTCCACTTTTAAAACACTACTAAAACATTTTCTGGTTATTATTTTATGCAAACCAAATCATTTATTCACTTTTATTTTATATATTTCGTTAATAAAACAGAGTAAACAAACTTTGCGCCAGCTAAAATTATTATAACCTCAAATCGCTGGTATTGCCACTTTATTTCACATTTCATTTGCGCTATTATACTCAGTTTACACTATAAACTTCTTCTTCTTCTTTTTACTTTCATCTAAATAAGATATTGTAACCAAAATATAATAACAAATTTCGCTATACCATCGAGCGATTTTTTATTAAAAATTTTCATTATTTATCGAAGTATTGATTTTTATGGAAAAAGCGCCGCAGGCGAAAATTTTTAATAAAAAATCGCGCGATTTTTTATTAAAAATTTTCATTTTTTATCGAAGTATTGATTTTTATGGAAAAAGCGACGCAGGCGAAAATTTTCATTATTTATATATATATTAAACGAAAGAAGATACCGAAAAGCATTGAACAGTGCACACATCTCATAAGGAAAAGTGAATTATTACGAAATACTAATCCAGTGGCAGCACTATAGCTATTTTGGAATCTCGCGTTTCAGCTGGCAAAGATTGTCAACTTCTTTTTAATAACAAAATAATCTATCTTAGGTTGATAAAACTATGTGTTTCTTTAATAAATAAGTTAAATTATATATTTTAATAGTGTTTAAAAAGTGTGAACAGGTGATTTAGTGAATCTTTGTCGGTGTAATTGCCCATCGAAAACAACGAAATTTAACAAAAGTTTTTTGTTCATAACTTTTAAATGGTTAATAATATTATCTGCCCCCCTCCGGATTGTTATTAGGGGGCCGAAACGCGTCGTTTGGTACCCCTCCCGACTTTTCCGCACCTTTTTTAGGGGTTGTTACCCCACCCTAGAGAATTACCGTATACTGTTATACTCAGCTCAGTCATCTCTATCGATTCCAATATTTTTTTTTTTGAGATTTGGAGCCCAACTGCATTTGTTCCAAAGTTTGTTTACGTATTGCCATAAATGTCAGAGTCGGCAAAACCAAAGTAGCGGTTTCGGGAATGCGCCACCTTCAGTTCATTTCACCATGCTCCTTGTAGGGTCTAATATCGCATTAATCGATAAATCGGAATTTATTCGATGCATCGGTCAACATCGCCCATTTCTAGCATAGTACTATTTGTTTATTCTGTGTCATATGTGAAATGTAGTTATATAGTTATATAATTTATGAATTAGTTTAACAACTAATAATTTATTGTGATAAAATTTGGTAAAAGTGCACTTCAGGGGAACCAGGCCAAAATTGACAAAAAAAATCAGTCGACTCGTTTTAACGCGAATAATAACAATTTGAGACCGGGAATTAAGATTTTTAATTAATTGAAGTGCTTTCTAAAAATGTCTCGCATATAAAAAAAAGTGAAAGTGCAAAGCGAAAAGTGCAAGTGTTTTTTGCGAATAACTAATGAATTAAAAATGTTTATTTCCGATCTCTGATTATTATTATTGGCGTCAAGACTCGTCGTTTGATACCACTCTACTTTTTCCGTCCATTTTGACCTGGTTCCGCTAAAGTGCACTGCTACCTGAAATTTTTTTGCGTTTCAAATTAGGATTTGAGAAACTACTCTAAACTTGCTTTGTCCAAATATTTCTGCCAGCAACGTACAAGCAAAAATTTAACCCGAATAAGAACGGTTATGGAAAATATAGACGGAAGTCAAAGGAAGCCTCGGCGCACACGCGGTACACCTGCATATCAATATAGAAATAAGTTTGCTTTCGCGTGGATTGCTTTGGGATCTGTCTTATTTGGCGCCTGGGCGTAAGTCGGTCAGCTTTTTGTATACATATCTATATGTATGCATTATTTTTGGGCTTTTACATTGATGTATTTTGGAACAAATTTCGGTAATTCTCTAGAATAAGGTAACAACCCCTAAAAAAGGTCCGGAAAAGTCGGGATTTTTTATTAAAAATTCTCATTTATATATACAGTGACGAACAAAAGTATTGGCACAGTGAATTTTTCGCCATATATGCAAAGGTTTTTATTCTAATTTATTTTCGATAATTTTTTATAAAAATATAGTTCATTCTACACGAGAAAACGTAATAATAAAAACTCTAAACTTTGTGTAAAACTCAGGAAAATTCATTAAATTTGCACACTAATTTGCAACTTTTTATTCAGATTTTTTAGAAAAATTCTAAATACGCAGTTTTATAGTCCATTCAAATTTAAGATAACAAAGTGTAAGATTAAAGTTGCTAGAAAATCGCGTTGATTTTGGGCAATTTTTTTAGTGGAAGGTGTTGCTCATTTTCTCCATACAAAAAATAATTTTCGAATTACTTTGTATGGAAGAACTTGCGTGAAAAAAAATTACCAAAAACCAATGCCATTTTCTAGCGACTTCAAACTTGCTTTTTGTTAT